TTGCTACCAACTATTTTTTTCCTAGTTTTAAGTACGACTTCCAAACATCTTGTTTATTTTGCTTCTTCCCATTAAGAACTAAGTTCTTGAGTGTAGGGACTCTTGTTCAGCATGGTATCGTCAGCATCTAGAACAGAGTCTGACACCTCGGAGTGATTCAGGACAATTATTTGTTGAATAAATGAATGTTTTCCGGTGCCTCAAACCATTGTCATTCCCTTATCAGATAGCATTAAATTATTTGTTGGTTTAAGAGGTTTTTAAAAATTTTTTATTTTTATCCTCACCCGAGGATATGTTCACTAACCTTAAGAGAGGAGGCAGGGAGAGAGGGAGAAACATCTATATGAGAAAAGTATCGATTGGTTGCCACCAAGAATTCAACCTGCAGGCTAGGTATGTGCTCTTACCTAGAATCGAACCTGCACCCTTTCAGTTTATGAGATGATGCTCCAACCAACTGAACCACCTGGCCAGGTCAAGAATTTTTAAAAGTGAAATACCCTGAGATTATCTAAATGTTATTAGGCATTTTTTACTTTATTATCTTGATTCTGAATATCTTATTTTGAGATGCTCTCAGTGAGAATTTAATTTGTTTCAGGAAAATTTAGCACAGTTGTTGTAGACCACTTTGCCTGGTTTCAGAAATTGTAACTCTACCCCCTGTGGCTAAGGATGAGCCAGCGATGACCTCTGGAATGCGAGCTGCAGGAGACGAGGCTTATCTCTGGTAGCAAATGCTGCCTCAGTTTCCTCCCTGCCCCCAAAGCATGGTCTGAAGTCCTGGATAGGTAAGACCCCTTAGAGGAGAGGCAACCTAAGCCAGACTCTATCACTTGGGAAGCCATCGTGGAAGGACTGGGGGGTTCTGCAACAAAGAGCAATGGACTCCCCCTCCTCCCCTTTGACAAAGCCCAAGTCCCCATGTCCTCTGGGAGAAGCGCTTCCTGGCTCTAATCCCCTTAAGCCTGAATACCTGATAGGGAGGGGTGCAGCTCCTTGCTTTGCCAGAGCGTGTCCTGGGGAAGAAATCTGGCATCACAAAGACTTCCTGATAAACTTGTGAAATCTGCTCTGCTAAGAGTGCTTTCATTCATATAAGGGTCTGAGAGGAAATGAATATGTCTCCCAAAGTTTCTGCAACCCCCTTTCCTGACAGACACTGACTCAGACTAAGCCCTCAGATTTCTTTGAAATATTATCTACTGTTTGATCCTTGCTGCCCTGTATTCCTGTGTATTAGAACCCAATGAAAGGCCCTAGAGGAAGGGGCTCGATGCCTTTTCCCCTTAGAAACTGGCCACTTCTCAAGGTCTTTTTCCTCTGAGAAACTGGCCACCTCTCCTCCCCAAGCAGATCATGTCTCAGTCATGTTTACTCTCACCCTTGGTGGACTGGGGGGACTTGCAAGGAAAGTTGCCCCCCACACAATTAATGTCATGCTTATTTGTAAGGTGGTTAAGGGAGCGAAATTCCAGTTATATTGCCACCTTTTCTCTATCTGGTAACCAGAAGAGACTGCCCTTTTATGTTATTGGAAGCAGGTGGACGAAGACCCAGAGGCCCTTGGGGTTTGTGGGGAGGCTGAATCTTATGCTGTGTAAAAGTGTAGGCCTTATGTCTAGTTTTCCTAACCCAGCAGTTCTATATCCATATAGTATTAATGAATAGATAATTATTTTTCCTCTCTTTTTAAAAGATTTTACTTATTTTTAGAGAGAGGAGGAGGGAGAGAGAGGGAGAACAAGATCAATGTGTGGTTGCCTCTCTCACGCCCCCAACTGGGAACCTGGCCCTCAACCCAGGCATGTGCCCTGTCTGGGAACTGAAGCAGCAACCCTTTGGTTTGGAGGCCAGCACTCAATCCACTGAGCCACACCAGCCAGGGCTGTTTTCTTTCTCACATTTCCTCCTAGCTGACTCCCTAAATTAAAGAGGCAACTTTAAGACACCCACCACAGCCTCTTTGGATGAAGAGGTAGTGTTAAGTAAAAAGAAAAAATATACACCATTGTTGAACTTTAAACTATTTCCAATTTAATCTGCATAATTAAGTATAGTTTTATGTCTTTTTAATGACAAACATGTATGATATCATTGCTCTCCTTCTGTAATTTGAGTATTATGTTTCAATATAAAGGGAATGTAATGAATGACAGCAAGTAAACTGAGTTTTTTCTGTACCTTTCAAGTGTAAGACTAAGACTACAGAAATGGAGTCATGGCATGATTAGAGAATACTAAAAGTATCTCTTATGCACGCAGTAATGTTCTTTCGCTGACTGGTAATATCTATAATTATCCATGGAGTAACTGTTTTCCATGATGAAAGCACACAAGGTTATTGTATTTAGAAACTTCCTTCTAAAGGGAACTGGAACTACGGTACACTCTGTGTCAGACACGTGAGCAATGTCGTTGGCCCTATACAGACAGCCTCAAACTGTACTCACACTTACAGTCACTTAGTGTCACTTGCTAGTATAAAAGAAAACCCCCAAACTTCCGTAAATGATTGATTAATTGACTTATAGGATATGCATTTTATCACTTCTTTAAAAAATATTTTATCTATTTTTAGAGCGAGGGGAAGGGAGGAGGAATGAGAGGGAGAGAAACATGACTGTGTGAGAGAAATATTGGCTGCTTCTCACAAGCCCCCAACTGGGGACCTGGCCCCAACCCAGGCATGTTCTCTGACTGGGAATTGAACTAGCCATCTCTCTGTTTGCAGTACATGAACCCACTGACCAAAACTAGTCAGGGCCATTTTCTCACTTCTTAAAAACTGCATTGAATTTTATTTTTGTTTACAAAAATTTTATTTCGTGTTCACATTTTGTGAGAAAAATATGCCTAGTATATTTTTCTGTATTATAAATCTGTTAGTGTTTGGCACCAGAGTTCAGAGGATTATCTTAAATGTGTAAATGATGGACTCCTGATGTTTTGCTCCTGTTTTGTCCAGTGACTTCTGGAACTTGGTCAATGTACAGAGGAACTTTGAATGAATCTTAACCTGAGCATGTCAAAAATGACCTCCTCAGAGAGACCTTCTCCATTCCATTTCATTGCTTAGTTCTTATTCAGAACACTAAAGTTACCTCGTTTACGTACTTACTGTCTCCTCATATAGAAAATTAGCTCTATCACTTTCTTTTTTTTTTTTTTTTTTTGTCTACTTGGATCCCCAGCGCTTAGACCAGGGGCACTTACACATTTATGGAATGAATAAATTAATTTGCTAATCATGTATCAATAGCGCTTTAAAAATATTATATTATTGAGCTCTGGCTGGTGTGGCTCAGTGGATTGAATGCTGGCCTATGAGCCTAAGGGTCACAGGTTTGAATCCCAGTTGAGGGCACACGCCTGGGTTGTGTGGGCCAGGTCCCCAGTAGGCAGCATGCGAGAGGCAAGCACACATTGATATTTCTCTCCCACTCTTTCTTCCATCTTTCCCCTCCCTAAAAATAAGTAAGATATTAAAAAATATATTGTACTATTGAAACTGAACATGTTGACCACTGATATTCTCAGATATACAGGGTGGGACAAAAGTTGGTTTACAGTTTTAAGTACATGAAATGGTTTATTCTTGTATTATTATTTATTATTGCATTATGTCCCATATGAACAACTGTAAACCTACTTTTTCCCCACCCTGTATATTCTGCCCATTATTTTCTTTTTTCCCTATATTCTCTATATTAGACCACTTATTTTCTAGCTGAGGCTCTAGCTGCAAATCAGTAGGATTTGTTAGCCACTTAAAAGACAATTTGGTTTGTCTTATTGAAATGAAATGATAATTTCATTTGCCTAGTTAAATGAAGTTATCAACAAAGTGTTTTATTGTAAACTTCCAGCCACATATCAGTCATTTGCTGTCATCATATTTGTCAGAGAATTGCATCCCATAGTACAAAATTCTCCTCCTGGAATGGGGGCGCTGAACATTTTTAAGACCAGTTTGATCCAAACCCTGCTGAATTTCGGCTCCCAAGATTTAATAAGACTGTGAAGTCACTTATGAGCAATGTTATTTTTTTGTGGAAAGAAGTTTTCATCCTAGCAAACCCATTTGTTCACAATCTCACAGTCCCTCATACCTAGACATTAAGATTGAGCCTAAATCTTTAGACTCCTGGCTAGCTCTTTCAAGGGACTACGTAATTCCCGGAGCCCCAAGGTTCGAGGCTAGTCGCCAACTCTGAGGCTGGCTGCCCGCAGTCCCCAGCAGAGGCCGTCTCTGCTGGGAGTCAGGGCAGGGCGGGTGTCCTGGCAGGGTCTTCCGTCAAATCCTAAGAGCTAAGAGCCAGCCCCGCGCTGTCAAGCTCTGAGTCCGCGCTTCTGCGACCCGGAGCTGGCTGGTCTGTGGCCGCGGCCCCACGGGTAACTCGCGCGCCTTCTCTGCCCTATGGTCCAGGGACTCTGCCAGGCGCCGGGTGGAGGTGCAAAGCCACAGGGGCTGAGATGGGGTGACGTCGAGGGAAGGCTGGCTGACCGTGCTGCTCAAAGCATCTCTCTTTGTCGAGAGTGCAGGAAGCCGAGAGCTTTTGCACTCCAAAGACCTTGCTGTTGTCCCCACGCCACCTCGCTGTAGCCTCAGATAGCAACTGACAGCTTCACGGAAGATCCAAGATCCAGACCAGGGCTCGCTCCCGCTCGGTTTCCCCAGTCAACTCTCACTCCTCATCCCTCCCCTCCCCGCTCTTCCCCTCCCTTCCCCTTTACTCTCCACCCCCTCCCGACCCGCCCTCCCCCTCTCCACCACTAGCTTCCGTGTACGCCCCGCCCCGTGAGCTGCCACGTGAGGGAATCCACTCATCAGCCTATGGGCGTCAGCTCCGCCCCACGCCCCCACCTTGCCCCCTGTTCCGCGCGCCGCCACGTGATGCGGCACGCCGCCAGCCAATGGACGCTGGCTTTGCCTCGCGCCCCGCCCCGCGCGCCGTGGCCGTTTGAAGTGACTAATTTCTGTCATATGACTGAGGCGCCCACGGGGGTGGCAGGGCGGTTCTAGGAGCGGGGGCCTAGCAAGCTCTCCGAGTAGCGACCCCGGCTCGGCTGTGGCCAGCATGGCCCCTACCCTGTTCCAGAAGCTCTTCAGCAAGAGGAATGGGTCGGGCGCGCCCGGTAGGGACGCTCGGGACCCGGATTGCGTGTTCAGGTAGGGCGCTGCGGGGCTGGGGGCGCAGAGCCGACGGCCTTTTGGCTTTGGGCTCTAGACGCGCCGGGGCCTTCGGTGTCCACGCCCGCAGCAGAGCGCGGGGCCGGGGCCGGGACCCGGACCCAGGCCGCTGTCGGAGGGGCCAAGGCAGCTGCGAACCTGTGCTGGAGGGTCGGAGCGAGGTCCTTTCTCCCCACCCCCCACCCCGACTCGCCCCTTCTTCCTCCTCCGGGTCGGTTTGTTTACGCCCTGCTCTGCAGCCACGCGCGGCTCTGCCTCCCAGTCCGATCACCGCTGCCTGAGCGTAAGGTCCCCAGGCTTTTCTTCTGGCGGCAAGGAGCGTTGGGCGCGGGCTGGGTTGGACCTCCGCCGCCGTCCTCCAGGCGGAGTTCTCCCCTCCTCCCCGTGACCAGTCGCCCTCTGGGCGCTGCGTTCCAGCGTGGTTGGTGGTGTGGAGAGAGCTGCACGTTTTGGCCAACCTTGCGAGTGCAGGGCAGGCTGGAGGAGCGAGTGGGCAAGATGCCGTTCTTGCCGGTTTCTTGGAAGCTAAAATTGGAGGTGTGCGGTTACCCGACCCAGCGGCCTCAGTGTCATCGAAGGAAAAATGTGAAACCTAAGAGATTATGGTCACTACTGACCAGACTGAGGCAGGACCGAATCAGCTGAAGCATGGCGGTGGCGTTGACCACAGAGTCATCATCCCTTTAGAACTGTTACTAAGAGGAGTCTTTAAGAACTGAAAACGACAGCAAAATATTTTATGACACTACAGGCTTCGTTCATTTTTGGTTGCTAGACCTGTTGCTGGTAGAAAAACTTTAACAGTGTCAAACTTGATGTAATACGAAACTGAGTTCAAGGTAAAATTTAGTCGCCAGCCTGCATTTGAAGAAGAGATTATGTCTTCCAAAACAGCCTTCGTGTTTGTCGTGCTGTGGAAACTCGTATATATAGCTAGGCTAAATGTCAGATATCACTCATACCTGCTGCGATAGCCGGGAACCGGGCCTTGCAGTGGCTGCAGGAAAAAATGAGAATCTGTTAAAGTTTGCGACAGGCCAAGGTGTGAAGTAACTACCACACTGGTTTAAAAGGTTTTGGTATTAACGTTACTCACCCAGTTTTGCTAACGCAGGTCACACTAGTAAACATTCATTAAGACTTGTGAAACTGAAGTAGTAAATGGTAAGAAATGTAACTGACTTTGAAGGAAGAAAAATCTCAGTTGTGATTCACTTGAAAAAGTGCTCACAGGTCATTTTCTAGGTTTTGGCCTTTTCCACTGGGAAATAAATGTCTTGCCATCCTCACGTAATGACCTTTAAAACATTTCTTTAGTGTTTTCCTTTTCAAGAACTGGAAGCACAGTCTGCATCACACTACACCGAGCCATCCAGTAAATCTAGAGTCAGCAGAAAGCAGGTTTAGGAAGGGTATTAAAAAGGTGACCGTTGTATAGGCTCTCTCTTTCTAGGTGAACACTGAGGTTGGGGTTCTTGAGTTTTCAGCGGTCTCAAGTCATTCATGTGAAAAAACATTTTCATGTCTGTTTTTTAAAAACATGAAGTCTACTGTATAGTTGTGTAATACTACTTTAGAGTTGCCAAAGCACTTTCTCAGTAGTTATCTCATGTGGTATTTCACAACCACTTTGTCAGATAGGACGAGCAGCAGTATAGATAACCACAAGGTCCTTTTTCTAGTGAAAATAAGAATCATGTGTAAACCTATTAACTGCAGTACAATAAAGAATTGGTTACTTTCAAAATAAAATGTGTATGAGTGTACATGTGAGAAAAGGAAAACTGGTTAATGTCTCACAGCTAGTAAATTTGCAGGTTTATTTAACCCACATCTTAAAAAAAATTTAAAACAACTTCTTCGAAATATAATTTACATGCAATAAAACTGAACCATTTCAAGTTATGTTGTATTTTTGGTTACATGTATACAGCTAAGTACCCACCATCCCACTGAAGATTTGGAACGCTTGCTGCTTTGCAGGCAGTCTTTAACCCCTTCTCACCCAGGGCAGTCACTGATCTGCTTCTTGCCTAATGACAGAAGTTTTGACTTTTTAAGAATTTCATGTAAATGTAACCACACTGGTACTGGTTTCTTGTGTCTGGCCTAACTTAACTCAGTGATGATTTTGAGATTCCTTCATGTTGTGGCTGGTCTTAGTAGTTCCTTACTTCTTATTGCTGAGTAGCATTACATTGCCTGGGTGTACCATGATTTGTTCATTCACCAGTTGGCAGACGTTTGTGCACACGTCTTTATGTGGACATGTATTTTTATTTCTCTTGGGTGGATACCTAGCAGTGAGATTGCTGGGTCATATGCTTAACTTACAAAAATTGCTAAACTTTTTCAAAGTTCTTTCATTTTGTATTTTCACGAGTTATATATGAAGGTTACAGTTGCTCCATGTCCTCTCCAATACCTGATATTGTTAGTGTATTTTGCAATTAATTTTTTTGTATTGTAAAAAAATCTAACAAAATTAACTATTCATTTTTGAATCTTTTTTGATTATAGCCATTCTAGAGGGTGTAACAACATCTTGATGTGGTTTTAATTTCATTTGTGAATAACAAATGATATTCAGCATCTTTTTTTTTAAGATTTTATCTATTTATCTTTAGAGGGGAAGGGAAGGAGAGAAGGAGAGAAACATCAATGTATGGTTGCCTCTCATGCGTCCCCCACTGGGAACTGGCCTGCAACCTAGGCATGTGCCCTCACTGGGAATCGAACCGTGGTAGTGTGGTCCGCAGGCCCGCGCTCAATCCACTGAGCTACACCAGCCAGGGCTGTATTCAGCATCTTTTCGTGTAACTTCGGTTTTTGAGTAGACTAAAATTTAGTGTTCATACCGGTATGTCATGTTTTCCTTTCTAGAACTTTTTTTTTTTTTTAGCTTAAGTTGGTAAATCAGGCTTGGACACATTTAGCCATTGGTGACTGACTATAGCTCAGCCCATAGGAGTCAGTTCCTAGAGTAAGCGATATGCATGGCCCAGTGGTTATAAGCCGTAGTAGGACTCATAGGAGAAACTTTTTATAAAGAAGCCTTAGGAGTCTTTTAATACTGTTTTTCATGGTTACCCCATTGGAAAAGATAGATGGTTAGGCATCATCCTTTTCCCTCCAGTCTTCATAGTTAGGATCTTTACTTACGGATTTCTGTTCGCTTGCCTTATCTAAACTTCTTGAGCTGGAGATGAGTGTGAAGGGTATCACAGGGGGGATATTATATCAGTCATTTATAAAATTAAAGAAAGCAATAGTTTGTTTTTATCCCTTAAAGAGTTTGGGAAAGAAGGTGCATTTTGGAAGATGCTGCTTTATGTTTTGTCCATCAGGCCTCTTTCCAGTAGAAGAAAGAATTAAGTCTAAGCCCAGTAACTGCGGTACATATAAAATGATTGCTTTGAAAATAATCTTGAAAAAAATAATCTGGTGAAGAAGGTTGTTTCATAGTTAAATGTATGTAAGACATAATTCCTGTTTTGTTCAAAAATGATTTCTCTTTTTGTTTTATTTCTAATACATGAACATTTGCTCATATTTGTCTGTAGCGGGAATTCTTAACCTGTTGAAACAACTTAATTGGTCTTTTGCTATCACTCTTGTCTTTCTCAATACTTTATCCTTTAAAAAAAAAGCAAGTTGCTAATGATTAGTTGATACTTACCATTTTAGGTATAGAATTTAGTATCTTCATTTAAGTTATTTTAAGAATTAGCAAGATAAGTTATATAAAGTGCTTAATGAAGTACTTACCACATGGCTTTCAGGAACCAGAAGTTGTTACTATGATGATCTCATGCTTATGCATGAAACCGTTTGGTTTAGGCTCAAACTCCTTAAAGTGGTGCTGTGTGGTATGTGGCTTTTGCAAAGACTGTACTCTTGATTTTTCAAAAAAATTTCCATAGTCATTTTTTAAAACATAGACATTAGTCTATTATTATACTTAACAGAATTAACAGAAATTTTAAGTATCATCTATACTTAGCCTATATTCAAATTTCCTCGATTGTCTCAAAATGTCTTTTTGTAGTAGATTTGTTGAATCATAATCTTAAGAGTCTTCATGTTGCATTTGCAGTTATGTTGCTTAAATAATTTTTATTCTGTAACGGTCTTTTCCCCCATTTAAATGTGATTTGTTGTTGAAACTGGGTTATTTTTCCTGTAAAATTTCCCACATTCTCTGTTTGAGTGTTTGCTTCATTACAGTTTTTTTTTGATTCATTGGTTCTCAGTAATCTGTGTTTAGTAAGCCCACTCCCAGTGATTCTGATGCTCAGTTTGAGAACCACCATTAGAACTTATTTCCTGTAAACTGGTAGTTAGAAAGTTTATGAAATTTAGGTTCAGGTTTTTTTTTTTAAATTTCAAATAAAAATATTTCACAGATGTGTACTTTCTATGTATCAGAGTTAACATAATGTCTGGTTGTCTCACTTTTAGTGATGCTAAGATTGATTAGTGTATCAGACTTAATTTTCACTATAAAATTCCTCTTTCACTGATGATTTTATTGTTTATTTTGTTGATCGTTGCCTGAATTAATTATCTTGTTGGGGGTTGCAACACGGTAATACCCAAATCCTAATCCTTTCTGTATTTATTTCCTAGAAGAACTTCATCTTACTACCTGTTTGGTTAGTCTTTGCCACAGGAGAGGCAGCATAAAAATTTGATTGCTTCCCTTTATAATTTTTTTAAAGGTCATTCTTTCTTTTTAAAAAGATTTTTATTTATTTATTTATTTTTAGAGAGAGGAGAAGGGAGGGAGAAAGAGAGGGAGAGAAACGTCAATGTGTGGTTGCCTCTTGCGCACCCCCTACTGGGGACCTGGCGTGAAACCCAAGCTTGTGCCCGTGACTGGGAATCAAACCAGCAACTCTTTGGTTCACAGGCTGGCACTCAATCCACTGAGCCACGCCAACCAGGGCCTCTTTATCATTTTTTTCAGATTAGTTTAC